AAAAAAAAAAAAAAAAAAAATTGATGTTTTAACCTCAGATTTTAATTTTCATCATGAAATCTAGCTGCTACTATTTTCTTCCTAAACAAAGATAAGTTTTGCTTCAGTTTTAGCTATATATGGTAGTTTCTGCAGCCTGCCCATTGTTTTTCCCAAATACCAAAACCCTATAAGCAATATTGCACTACTCAGAGCTATTTACACAGCAGAGACAATATTGATAGGGTTCTAGGATCTGGTAATATACAGGAAATTTGGGGGTTATTTACTACAAAATTATTACAAAATTAAATACTACGAAATTACTACAAAATTTACTGACCAATTATGATGGCCTATAGAATACTGATAGACTATACTCACTGCCCTGCTCATTATAAGTTAGCCTCCTGGAAGCCTCATAAAACAGTAAAGTTATTGTTTCTACTAGCTTTTAGCTCATTAACTTTAGCTACCTTACTATTTTTAGGGGCATTGTAGTATTTAAAGTAAAATTAGTGATTTTATTTAAGCCCAACAGATTTATAGTTCAGAAACTGTGTTTTCTTTTAAATCAGTAATAAAGGGGAAATGTTTTGTGTTGATCCTCGGGGTGATAAATAAAATACACAAGTTAACTGAAAAAAAATGTATAGAAATCATTGTTAAAGCATCCCAAGAACATCCAGTTAACATTCTCCTAGGAAGTAGACTGGGACTCTAAAGAAGATGCTATGTGAATGTGAATGGAGCTCAGGAAGTAATTTTGAGTTTTAGAAAGTTTGCAACAAAAAAATCTAAAATAAATTTTTAAAATGCAAGCATATGCTACATATTCCACAGGCATAATATATTTTGTTGTACGAGTTTTTAATATGACCAGTTCATGGCTCTAAGTAAATGGTACACTCTATCACATACTACCCAACTATTTGGCAGCAAAGAGAATATAGTTACAGTCTCCAGGTTATAAAAACACTTGCTTTTTTTAAAGAACCCATAGAAGATGGCAGAGTGGTGAGCAGCTGAGAAAGAGTCTCCTCAAGATTTGGTGTCCAGACACTGGAATATAGCAATGTGAAGAAGAGAAGGACGTAAGTGGGTTCTTGGAGCCCAAGAAGGATCTAAAGTGAGAATTGAAACTCACAGGGAGAATGAAGAGAGAAACTTCAACAAAGCAGGCCGTGGCAGGCAGCACTTTTTGCCTGAACCCAGACTCACTGTGTGGGAAGGGCTGCTTGAACCTGCAGACACATGGTGACTATTGGTGACCCCAGAGGCCTCCACAGAAAAATGAACCAGTGGAGTGGATCAGTGGATGAAGCAGACTGCAGTAGGTGGTAAGATATTCAGGTTCAGACATCCCCCAGCAGAGGGCAACTGGCTGGGAGCCATCTTGGAGAGGAGCCAACTGAACTCAGAACACAGAGCAACTGCTAGCTCCTTCTAGCAGCTCCCAGTGTCAGAGTCAGAGAGCCAAGTTCAAGCCAGCAGGAGGCACACAGACTGCTGCAGGCTGAACAGGTCTGGTTCTAGCCTCACCGCCAGAAACCAGCCTGAACTTCAGTGGAACCAAAGGTAAGGTTCTCCGGTATTATCCACTACCCCGCCCTAAAGATACTGCTGGCTTGTTAGGGATAATCAACTGTTATGATTGACACATTGTGTCAATTTGGGGAGTCTAGAGGTTTGGCTAAGTGACTCAGCAGTTCTGCATCCTGGGGTGAAAAGGACATGCCCTTACCCTTCTGGGATGTTGTTCATTGTGTCAATGTGAGAAGTTCAGAAGGTTAACTATGTGATTCAGCAGGGAGCCAGGGTGCTTACTTTGTATTCATCCTGAGCCTGTGCAAGAGGAGGGCATGGAGATTATGTGAGTGCTACACGCCCCCTGGGTGAGGGTAGCCTGCTTACAATGTAGGGGAAAGAAAGAGGCTGCTTGCCGCCACTCCTCCCTTTTGCCCCTGCTGCTTTTGCTATCTTCTGCTGCCATAAATTGTAGCCCTCTGACTCTGCCTTGGAGCCAGCCAAATATGGACTGAAACCTCCACAGACTGTGAGCTAAATAAACTTTTCCTTAATTTTGGGTGTCAGGTATTTTATCTCAGCAACAAGAGTAATCAAGACATCGACTCAGATCTGGACTCTGCCCACGTTGTCTACCAATGACAGCAGAGAGACACCTTCAAGTGGACATTTTTTTCTTATTTCCTTTTTTCTTTCTCTCTTTTCTAGTTTTGTTTTCTCTTCATTGTTTCTTCTTGTTTTTATAAGTGTGAACATGGCTTATAGTTTTTTTGTTGTTATTGTTCTGTTCTTTTTATTTCTTCCTTCTGACTCTTATATTCTTCACCAGTTTCCTAAAGTTTGTGTGATCTTCCTTTGTCCTCCAGCTACTTCTAATCTCTTCCTCTTCTTCTACTTCTCCACTTTCCCCACAACCCCTTTTAAGTTTTCTCCCCTGAGGGTAAAATTGCCATATTGAGGGCTTCTTTACTGTACACAATTTTCTGGTTCATTTTAGATTTTGTTATATAACAAATCTAGTTTATACGATTGCAGGTATCAAATCAATAGTTACCTCAGTTTGTCCTTTTCTAGGTTGTGTTTGATGCTATTGTTATTGCTGATTGTACAACTTTAGCAAAAGTGACATAATTGTTCTAACCAGCTATTCTTCCTGGTATACCATGACTGAGATTGCCTAAGGGACATAAAAAATACTGTAGGTCAGTGCCAAAGAACCAGGGACTGGGCCACGCAGGCAACAACTTCTCATTCCCAATAAATTGAAGAAGTAGGATCTTGCAACAGACTCTAAAACCAAAAAGCCAGCTACACCTGGAAGACACCTCTGAGAAGTAGTCATTTCCTAAGGGTTCTACATACTATCAATAAAGGTACTTGCCATTGGCAATTTATAAGCATCAACCAACGAATTAAAGTAAAGAGAGAGAGAGAGAGAAGAAAATGAGAAGACACATAAACAAGATGCAACCCCAGACTTCCAGCTCACCAAAGGCAAACCCAGGGGACAATGAGGTAGAGCAATATGAAAGGCACCCACCTGGACTCTCTGAAGTGGTAACCAAGTGGAAGTAACAAAGCAAACAAATGAGGCTCTAGCAAAATCAAATCAGAAATAATTTCTCAGCTAACAACAGAGATGGTAACCATAATGAAAGATATGCTTAGTGACCCTAGAGCAGATACACATTTAAAAAAAAAAAAAAAAAAAGAGGCACTTAGGAAAATGATGGAAATCAAGAATGCCCAACATAGGAAAGAAATGGAATCCATGAAACAGATTCAAACAGATACCCAGGAGATCAAAAATTCCATTGAAATATACACAGCAGAATGAGCCAATGTGAGGACAGAATCTCAGATAAAGACAGGATTGTGGTTGGCAATCATGAAAAGAAAGATTTCTTAAAAAATAGCAGAGGACTATGAGAAATCAATCCAGCAGCTGCTAGATGATGCAAAGAAGACTAATATAAAATTGATCAGAGTCAGTGGCTGAGGATTTAGCTCAGCGGCACAGCGCCTGCCTGGCAAGCACAAGGTTGTGAGTTTGATTCCCAGTACCAGAAAAAAAACCAAAAGCCAAAAAAAGAAAAAAAAAAATGATCAGAGTCAATTTATAAGCATCAACCTAGGAATTAAAGTAAAAAAGAAAGAGAGAGAGAGAGAGAGAGAGAGAGAGAGAGAGAAGAAAATGAGAAGACACTTAAACAAGATGCAACCCCAGACTTCCAGCTCAAGGAGATAGTGCAAATGACACAAAAAACTTGTTCACAGAAGTCATGGCAGAAAACTTCCCTGGCAGAAAGAAGACTTTGACATATAATAAGTAAACTCCAAATAGTCATGATCAAAACAAATCTACAGTAAGGAATATAACAGTCATGATTCCAGAAATTCAATACAAGAACAGAATAGTAAAAGCTGTTAGAGAAAACAAATCACCTATAATGGAAAGCTCATCAGAATCACAGCTGACTTCTCAACACAAACCCTCAAGTCAAAGAGAGTTTGGAGTAAAATTTTTCAAGCCTTAAAAGAAAATGACCTCCAACCCAGATTGATACACCCCACAAAACTCTTTCAAAATTGATGGAGAAATAAGATACTTGCATGACAAAGAACACCTGAGGAAACTCATGAACACCAAACCAACACTCCAAAATGTGCTGAAGGACATTCTAGAAAGAGATAACAAGGATTGCATGAACCACAACAGAATGAATCTACCAGGCAAGCGAAGAAATTAAACAGAGGAGAAAAAAAAGAGAGCCAACAAGGGGAAAAAAACACAAGGGTAAGTCAATACGTATCACTTATAGCCATCAGTGTTAATGATCTCAATTCACCAATCAAAAGAAACAGAGTGGCACAATAGATCAAGAAGCAAGATCCAACAATTTGCTGCATACAAGAAACACATTTAATTCAAAAAGAAATTCATAGGTTAAAGTCAAAGTATGGGAAACAATATTCAATGTGACAGAAGCCTGGAAGAAAGCAGGGGTACCTATTCTATTTGCAGACAAAGTAAACTTCAAGGCAAGACTGATTAAGAGAGACAAAAA